CAAACGTCATTGTCCCTCATGGACTTAATCTCTTCATTCATGGCATCAATCCACTTTTGAGAATTAAAACTTTCCATGGCTTGATGAAAGTTAATTAGATCATCTTCCATCAATCCAATTCCAACCTCATTTTCTTGGAGAAACAAAATATAGTCATTTGGTATTGCACTTCTTTTTTCTCTAGTGGATTTCCTTAATGGCATAGGTTCTTGAGGAGGAAGAGTTTTTTCTTCTGGAACAATTTCTTGCATAGGAGATTTGACATTGTCTTGATTTGTTGTGTCTTGAACAAAGTCAGGAAGAGGATCCTGAATAATGCCAATAACACCTGTAGGAATATCAACATATTCCTTTTCAAATACAAAGTCCTTAATTATATCTCTCCTTGCAAAATCGACATCCTCAAAGAACCGAGCATTTCCTGATTCAGAAATTGACTTAGTTATGGAATCATAAAACTTATACCCTCTAGATCTTTTAGAGTATCCAACAAAATAACAACTTATAGTTCTTGAGTCCAGTTTCTTTTTATTTGGCATTTAAGGTCTTGTTTCAGCTAGACAACCCCAAACATATAAGTGTTTTAAACTAGGCTTTTTGCCTGTCCAAAGTTCATAGGGGATTTTTCTAGTTGCTTTTGTTGGAACTTTATTAAGGATATATGTTGTAGTTTTAAGAGCTTCTCCCCAGAGTGACTTTGATAAAGTAGAATGACTAATCATACTCCTTACCATTAAGCATTCTATTTCGTCGTTCAACAACACCATTCATAGTGGACAAACCCGACATAGTGTACTATGGAACGATACCACATTCATCTAGGAATTTAGCAAATGGTCCTGAACGTTGTTTACCTGAACCATCGTATTTACCATAGTATTCACCACCATAGTCATACCTGACACTTTTAATTCTTTTGTTGAGTTGGTTCTCAACTTCAGCCTTATAATTTTTGAACACATCTAATGACTTTGCCTTTTCATGAATGATAAGAGAGCTCTGCGGTTTGACCTTCTAAATCAACACATACTCTCTTGAGATAACCCTTTAATTATCTCTATGTTTCTCTTTGATAATGAGATGTCAGAAAAGAAAAAAATGCAGTGTGATCTGGGAATCTAACCTATTTATAGACAATCATAAGGTCTTTTAGTATTTCTATATTTTATCCATCACAAAATAGAATTACCCTTTAGTTGCCACACTTTAAAAGTCCCATAACCTTTCAGATACATAACTGCAAAATTAATTTATACATCATTAGATCACTTTAATTTGGCATAATCTTATGTATTTTTAATATATAATTATTCACATATAAGACCAACGTTGAATTGAGGATCCAACAAACTTTTCAAGTTCCTATAATATTGTCACAACGTAAATAATTATTTCAAACATACTTGAATAGTTACCATTGTTGGGGCCAGTTAAAGATATTCTAAGTTAGTACTGATAAAAGATGTTTCTCTAAGCTTTTCCAATATAGATCTTCGATATCTTTGTCAAGATAGAAAAACATGCTAAAAGGTTTTATTCCTTTTGAAAAAGAAATAAAAAAAAATATAATCAAACAATGTGACTTTGGAAAGCACATTTCGAAAGTAGAGACTAAGAGGTTTTAATAGGTGAAATTAGGAAATAAATTTAATATTTTTAAAATACAATCAAAATCAACCTAAATGAATATAACCTGATAATTTGTCAAGTTATAAGTAATTGTTTGTTAGAAGATTTTTTTGAAGACGATATTTGGAAACACTTTTAACTATGGAAGACGCGAGTTGAAGATGCTAGTTATGAAGACATTGATGCTCAATTAGAAAAGCAATAACTCCATTTCTGGCACGCAACCAAATTGTGCTCCAAACAGACAACTTTTGGCAATTTTAGAAGTCAAAGCTTTTTTGACAAATGACGAAATCTAATAAAAGATGGATAATATACCTAAGGTTGGAGTAAATTGGCAGTTTGAGTCAATTACACTGTAAATAAATTAAGAACTAGTACATCATATTAATTTTGTTAAACATTTATACACTCATGAAACACCACTTATGCCTACACTCAAAATAGCTGCTACTAGTTTTGAAGATCAATATTGAATTCATTCTTCCTTTACTTTTCTTTCAAATTTTGATTCTCATCACGTACTATTTATTTTTCAAGCAATTTACTTTTCCACACACACACACATTGGCCGTTTGAGTCAATTACACACACACAAAAAAATCACGTAAGTGTCACATCAATAACTCGTATTCTAAATCAAATTTTAGTGAGCCAATAATTAAATTAAAATTTTTAATACATAGATAAAATACATTAAAAATATTTGATATTTTGTTATATAAATTCAAATTAATGTACAAAATATTTTTATGATTATTCGTTAATATTAATAACATAAAGTATTCACTACAATAAAATTTAGTATTACCGATAATTATTTAATAGTAATAAATTAATTACCTCTATTTTATTGTTTAATAAAAATATTAATGACTATTATATAATGGTCACTAAAAATGTATTTACATCACATCAAAATTTACTATTAGTGACTATTATTTGTTAAAAAAAACTTAAGTCCCACATCGACTAGAAATAAAATAATTAAAGAGTATATAAGTGAATGATAACTCTTACCTTACGAGTACGTTTTATAAGGTTGAGTTAGGCCTATAACTTATTATTCTAAGTTGGTATTTAGGTGATAAGATAATTAAAAAAAATTAATTAGAAGATAACCTTCATCTTATAAGTCTCACATCAATTAGAAATAAGGTAATTAAAGAGTATTTGTAATTATCTTACAAGTCCTACATTAACTAGAAATAAGATAATTAAAGAGTATTATAAATCTTTTCTTAAACTTTTAGTGGTAATTTTAAATGCCAATAACAAATGACACAAAAAGTTATACATTTTTTCTGACCATTACGAGGGTCTTTACCAGCATATAGAATAATTACCGGTAAATATTTTAGCGACATTGCATACAATGACTAATGTGTGAAATGACGGTAAAAGATTTTGTACCAATTTTTATTGCTACTAAAAATCATATTAAATGCCACTAAAAATCTATTTTATTGTAGTGATTAAACAATTTTTAATTTTTTAAAACTTTGTAAACTTGATATATGAATTAAGACTTTTGTTGGATCATTGAAATTTGATATAGAACATAAGTTGTTAATTGGAGTAAGTTTACCAAGACTTACTCTTGAAGTCAATGGATCTTTTTTTTTTCTCTCTCTCTTTCTCTCTCAGGCTTTCCTCTCTATATATATATATATAGGCATTAAGTTATTGTGCTAATTGTTGTTTCCATTGTTTAATTAAGGATAATAACATCTTTAGAATAATCATTTAATTCAAAGATACATCAAGTATGACTTTATTGTATGATACTTTGGACAAAAAATATTATTTTTAAATCATCCATAGTTAAATATTATTATTAATAAGGACGACAATAATGCATTGTCTAATATCCTCGAAATTTGATTTAATAATTTAATATTGATCATAGGCTATATTAATAATCAAGTGTATTTTAATTAATATCATATGTGTTTATTTTATTTATAAATAAGAGATGTTATTAAAGGAATGGTCTTTTAAGGTCCAATAAGGGGCTAGGTAACATTATGCTAAATAATATTATTTAAAGATTTTAATTAGGGATAATAAGATTAGTAATAAGATAAAAGGACTTGATATAAAATAGATCATGGGCTATGCATATAATACGAAACTCTAGGGTCCAAGAAGAAGACAAAATGGGATAAAAATGGTTAAACCCTAAAAGACACACATTGCATTTACCACACCTAGATTAGAGAGAAAGAGAGCAAGAAGAGATAGGAAGGAAAAAGGATGGAGTCAAAAAGATATAAATGATAGAAAAGACAAAGGAGTGAAACATTACCTAATAAAAACCCTTGCGACTTGCGCTTTGAGGTGAGTGCAGTCCTTTCCATGTCTTCCCTTCCCCGTAATTGCCTAACTGATGTATCATATTTATTTGTATGAATTTATGCTATTTTCCTAATTGTAGGATTGATTGTTTAATTAAGTATTCTTTATCTTTGTAAAGTTGATTATATAATGAACCATATTAAATTGATGTTCTTTGTGAATATTCCATGTTAAGGTTTAGAAAAAGAATTTATTAGCTAGTTTTATAAAATTATCCATCAAGCCCCCTTAAATAATGGTATTGTATGTCTTCCTTTTCTCATTCTCAATAGAAATTTATTAAGAATATATTTTGTATAGTTTCCCAATCTGATAGGAATTAGTTAGGAATGAATTTTGTATAGCTCGTCGTTCTTTATAGCAATTAATTGGATATTTGTCTCCCTCGATCCACAAATAATAGTGTCAACCTTCTTACACAACACAAAAAATGATTTTTTGTCATAATTTTTATGTTATTTAGCGACTATATAAATGATCGTTAATATCTTTACCAGCAATTAGATTATGACCGGTGTATTTGCGATCGGTAAAATTATTAATGACATTTAAAGTAAATGCTGGTAAAAACCTTTTAAATGGCTGAGAAAAATAAAATTTTTTAATGATAATTCTAGTGACAATTTTAATGGCCACTAAAAATAATTTATTGAATAATAGATTCTCATATATGTAAAAAAAAATTGTATAGAAATACAATTGAATTTCATTAGATAAAATAATTTATTTTGATAGTGTATTGATACTCAATTAGTTAAATTCAATTAAATAAAATTATTTTTAGTCCATGCATTGAAATTGATGAGGGAATCAAATTCAATTTTTCATCCATTGATTTTTTTTTATAAAAAAAAACTATTTTCTTTACTAATATTCTCATCCAACATTTCTCATAAAAATAATGAGAATAATAAATTTTTGATATGACTACTACATATTTGCAATAACACAAGATGCCCATTTATTAGAGTAATGCAAAATTTATGAGTTTATCATGTCTTTGAGATGCCAAGGAAACCATTAAAAAGATAAAATGAATAGTCAATGATGTCATGATCCAAAGAAATTACATAATTTCATTTCTAAGATAGTCATATCCCCAAAGAAAGCAAAGTCTTTAATGATCTAGTGCTATTTGCTAAAATATCTAAAAGGTCTTCATCAATTACAATTAAATCCTGCAAAGCACAAAATAAACAAATGGATGTCACTACATACATGCATTCCAATAATTAGTAAGAAATGACCAATAGAAAAGGCAACATAGTCTACCTCCTAGACTACTAGTTCTCTGTTCATGTAAGCAACATAGTCTACCTCCTAACTTCTTTAGATTGAAATTAATGATTCAATTCTGCATTATACAACTCGACCAGGAAAATATATCCAGTAATTAAATCAAATAGGTGAATTTAGTCTTTCTTATTTCAGAAAGCCATTGTGTTCTATCCAGTAATGAAACTTAAATCAAATAGGTGAATTTTGTTTTTCTTTATTAAAAAAACCATGACCTGGGATGCCTAAGAAGAAGAAAAAAATAGAAAAAGTACCTCAAAAACTTGTCCAATCAAATGAAATGAATTATACATACCAGTTAATTATACATATCAGCATCACGAGCTATGCTCCCTTTCTCTTTGTATGGCAGAGGATATTCCAAAGATGTTGTGCTTGTTTGTGTTCAAGATGCAAGGACTCGAAAGTTATAATTCTAAAATAAAGCATTTAGAGTGAGTTGGTCCTAATACTGCCTGCACATTCAATTATTTTTCAACTTGCACAGAACGAAAACAACCAGTAGCATGATAAAGTCAATGAAAAATTAATTGGTTCAATTCTTAATAAATGATTAAATTCATTTATTTTAAAAGCCTATTTTAATTAAAAGTTAATTAGCAAATATTTTGTGAATTAAGAGATTATTTTTATTTTCAAGTAAAATGCTAGAAATTAAATTAAAATATAAAAAAAACACATGCTTATAAAATTATATAAAACATATGTGCGTAAAAAGGATCTAAAAATAAAATTTAGAAAGGTTAAAATTAACATATCATTCTTCAAGAGAAATTAAATTAAAGGTTAAGCAACGCTAAATAATCACCATTCATGGACACATTAGCAATTGCCTTTGCTGCTAGTATGCGAACAACTTTATCATTATCTTTTCTAAGAAGCTTGAGCAAGGAAGTGAGGTTACCAGCTTGAACCATACTGTTTTTGTTAGCCTCTACATATTATAATAAATCAAATTACTATTGAAAAAAAATTAAATACTCCAAAGAGAAGCAACAAGATTTTTTTAAAACTGTTTTCACTATAATAGTTGGAATTTTAGTTGATTGTGATTATGCAAATCCAAACAAAAAGGTTGAGTGTTGAGACATTACAAGAAATCAACAAGTAGATAATTTAGATTTGTAAACCCACTATTAAAAGTCATTTAATTATACAAGTTGCCATCCTATTTCCTTAAGTGTAATTAAGAGCCTATATCCATGAGTTTATTGTTCATGTTACTCATGCTTTTACAAAAGTAACTTAAACTTATTTAAGAAAAAATAGAATGTGTAAAACAAGAAGACATGGGTCAAACCTGTTTTCATAGTTGCAGTAGATTTTGTAGGTAATTGTGATTCTACAAATCCAAAAAGAAAAAGAAGTGTTAAAATGTACGCCTTACAAAAAGTATTTATAGGAACAAAAACAAAAGGCATCAACAAATTACCATGAGCACCAAAGGACATGTGTGGCATTTCTGGTGCTTTTTCCTGGCCAATATTAGTACCAAAGACCTAATTAAAACATAAGAAAATAACATTGTCTTTTACAATCAAAATTTGAAAAGAAAAAAAAAAGTTTAAAAGCATTTGAATCATAGTTGTCCAAATGAGCTTCCATTACTTTTGAGGCATAGATAGCTCCATTGGAAAATGTTTGTACATGAATTTTCTAATAAAAGATAGTTCTGAAAGTAACTTATCTTGATTTTGTTTCATCAAATTCATTTCTTCATCATGTTTTTCTTTTAACTCCTTTAACATCTTCACCTCTTGCTCTAATCTTTGTACTACCTCATTAGATATATTATCAGCAAAAGTACTTCCTATGGAAGATTTAGAACCCCACAACAAAGAAGGTGTTGGACCAAGTCCTAAGCCACGAACATAGCCACTTCTTTCAGCCCCCAATACTTGGGAATACACATCTCCTTCCTAAGCAACACTACCAATAGGTTTTTCATTAGATGTTTCACCATTGTTCAATTTTTCTTGCATCACATCCTATGTAAGAAAGTTTGAAGTTATTGCATACTCACAATCAATATAAAAATATTTAAAATAATTCGAATGTCATATATAATATATAACAAGTATAAAAATTGCTTAAAAAATCTAACCACTATTTTTGCAGACACGTCATCCAATGGTCTTCCATCTTTACGTCTTTGATGAGTTAATATAAAGATTTCTGCCCTTGTAGGCTCTATCCCATCTATGGCCTAATAGGATTAAGTTGATGTCAAATAAATTCTCAAGACAAATGTTATTTATAATGTAACAATATTATAACTTGTAATTTATCCGCAAATACCTTTTCAACCATTAAGGTTCCAATACTTTTGGATCCTCTAGTGTGAGGCATCTTTTGCTTTGTCCTATTATTTCTATTTGCTTGGTTGCGCTTCTGTTATTAAAACACACAATAACATCATATAATATATTTATAAAAAATAAAGAGAAATAATGTAAGTATTGCATAAAATATAAACTATGTGTTGGTCTTTTCTAAAGTTCTTACCTTTCCTTTATCAAAAAGCCAATAAGAGACAAGACCAGTCCATTGGTCCCTTGGTATTCGAGTTGGTCTGCTTTTATCAAGGCATCTCTAGTCTTATACCTTGTCATGTACGATAATCCTATTAGGCCACCTGAATTTTTCAATTCATTTGACTTGGGTTCACAACAATTTGGGGTGTTCATTAATTGCTCTATATAAGGCTCTACTTCATCATAATGTCTATCTACAAGTCTATGATTGTTTTTTCTAGGCATTGTGATATAAAAATGTATTCCCCGTAAATGAAAAACAATAGACCATATTTGATTTACAAGAACAAAGTTAGTATATATCAAAATTGATATGTATATAACTTGCCAAAAAGGTAGCATGATGAACTTGCCTTTATTGTTTATAACTTGCCAAAATTAATGTTGCAACAGCCAAAGTTATTTTTCAATTAGATGTGACCTATAAAAAAATTAAAATAATAATATATTAAATAACATATAATCAATTAAAGAATGGATAAAATAAAAAATAAATAATAACATGAATATATAAGGACAAAAATCTAAAGATATATAATGATAGTAATACCTATATTATTCAGAATCACTATCAGATTCATTGTTACTCCCTCCTTTATTTTTGTCTTCAACCTCATTTGAAGGAAGGTTAGAATGTACACCTATTTCAAGTATTGTTCCATCAACTCGTATCAGCAGTATGAACGATCAAGATTGCAGCATTTGCTAGTGGCAACACACAACCACACCAATGCCTTGTTGAATATATATCACAAATCCACCCCATAAAATTTTGATTTCATTTAGTTCACTCACTCACTCATTCAGTGGAAGCACTTATTTTCCATTTCAACTTAAAGCATGCAAGTTTCTTCAATCTGCATCAAAACCAAGGTTTTGATTCGCGTGAAGTCACTACACGCAAACCCAACAACCTTAAACAACACCACTTCCACGCTGGTTGCTCCTAAATGGGCTCAAAAGACAATAACTTTGCCTCCCCTTAAACGTGGGTGTCATCATATCACTTCCAAGGTATATATAAGTTTTTGCAAATTTAATCAATTAATCATGTTTTTGTGCCTTCTTGTTTGTAAATCCCATATATGCTAGGACAACTATTTCTCTTACTATATGCTTGATGATCATTTAAATACTAAGTTTTTATTCCAAATATGTCACAAAGAAAATAACAGAGGACAGACCAGTAAAAGAGGGAAGGGCCAAAAATGAAAAGTAATGACGTAGATGAAAAATAAAATTTATTCCAAACAATATTGCATGGTTATAACATACATGAGATGGTTGAGTACGATCCTCAAACACTGAAAAAGGTTTACTTTCAGGAATTTTCACAGTTGAAGTTTGTTTGCCAAGGTAGTTTGTATAAGAAAATGGCTTAGATGTCTTTGAGAAGCCACCAGCACCACGTAGATAGACAGTTGTTCTACAACCAACTAGCTTGTTGAGTGTGGTGATAACAAAGCATTAAAGGAAATGTTTTGAGCATTACCTGTTCATGCATAATAAATCACCAGACTCTTTCTCATATCTTTTTGTTTCAACCTCCAAAACTGCTGCTTTACCTGAAATAAACTGTAGAGCAAACACATTTAAATCTAGTTTTTGACTTTGAATACCTTAACCAATTTAAATCTTATAATTAATATAGAAAAATGTACCATGTTATTACTATTCAACTATTTTAATTATGTAAGCCAATGTAAAATTTAATAAAACAAATCCAGTCAAGGAGTAGGGATGGAGGACATAAAACCTCTTTTGCATCAATTATCTTTGTCTTTTGGGTTGCAGGAGCCAAAACCTTTTTTAATAGAGTTTCACCAACTCTAATAAAACAAAAGCATATTTGAAGCATCAGAGGCACCATTTGAAAAGTGGAATTATTCCCCATGGTGAAAACACCAATATTAGTAATGTTGTTATGAAACACATGCATGAAACCCACATCATGCATATTATATGTTTTACATTGCAGTCCAAGAAATTGAATCTCTATCAGGATGGTGAGTGGTTATTTTACATATCAGTCCAATTACCATTCTACCACTGCACAATACCAGAAAAGCTTCCAGAAGCAACTTATACAATAAAATTATTCCAGAAGCATCTCCACAACCATGAAAATTACAAAAATAATTTCATCCAACATTTGAATATTTATTGAGGGGTTTAATTTAATATCAGGAAAAAACCTTAATGGTTCAAAAGGAAGAACCATTCCTTTTTTCTTTCCATAGCTAGACTCCACAACAGAACCAACTCTTCCTGAACTTTCTGCTAGACATTTGGAAAAATGTTGAACGACTTGAGAGGTATATTATGAATTGATAACAAGGTGTACGTTTGCCATTGAGTATTCATGTGGGATTCATAAGCAACATAGCTCACCTATGCGTGGTAATTCAATTCCTTGATTAGGTGTATTTGCTTCAGGTTCTTCTTCGGTTATTGTTGCTTGTGGCTTATCAAATAATGCACACTTAAATGCATACTTATTAATAAAACCTTCCGGATCATTTCTGAAACAATTTTAAAGTACAAATAATGTGAAAAGTACTTATGGCCAACTAATTCGAGTGCAAAGCGAACATCAAGTTGTAAAGAAACACAAATCCAACCAATGCCCCAAAGCTTAACCAATACCAATATGAATTTGTTAAGTATGAACGAAAAAATCAAACCCTAAAATTGAAATTGAAGACAAAATCACAAGAGATATTACCACATGAGGATCCAATAGAAGAATGAGTTGACGCAGTCATTAAAGCTATGTGCGAGAGATAGAAGAGGCCATGACTGAAACTTGAAATAGCGTGAGAGTGAGAGTGGGATGAGATAGTGAGAAGCGAGAGTGAGGTGAGACGGTGAGAAGTGAGGCAAAAAAAAATAAAAATTGTTATGCACGGAGAGTGTGAAGAATTTTGTAAACAAAAAGCCCAAATAAAAATTAATATTAACAGTAATTTTTAAAAATTACCATTGTAAATAAAGTTTTACTGGTTAATTTTTATTAGCCACTAAAAACCTTAGCTAATAACGATATGCAGGCAATTCTCTTATTGCCAATAAATAATTGTCGTTAATAATACTTTTTGTTGTAGTGAGAGATTTTATAAAAATACAAGGTGAAAGCTCTTTAAGATTTTGAATAAGTGAATCTCTCCTCTATACCCTAAACCATATATATATATATATATATAATGTGTGTGTGAATGTATGAATGTATGCTAGTAATTTCCTACATATTGTCATCCTCCACAGAAGCCGTTGGAAGATGAATAACACTAGTCAAGGAGTAGATAACAACCATTAGCTCCTTATACTCAACATAAAAGGTAGCATCATCTTTTGAGTTAGTAGCAACAAGTAAAGGTGAAGTAAAAAGTGTGGATCAATGTCATATTGATATCTTAGGGTTCATTCCTAGTTAAATATCATTAAAAAATAAAAATAAATAGGTCATACATGCATTTCTTCCCTTATTTGTGTGAAACGAAAACATCCCCAACTTGCGAACGTGTTCTTGTCACAATAGTCATCATGAGGCCAAACGCCACTAAGCAATTGGACCCATATTCTAAACACAAGCCGTTTGTGACTAACTGGTTGGGACTAATTTGTTTAGAAAAATAATCTTAAGGTAAGATTAGCATCACATTTGAGTAAAGTCCATGAATGTACTAAAAACTACTTTTATGACACATTATGGTCATTGAATATTTGGTTATGCTTTTTAGAATGACCAATGCATCTAAAGTGTTCATGGACTACATAAACTATATCTTCCATTTTTAAGGGCAAACAATTATGTGCTATGTTATCAAAATATGAGTTGTAGTTAGAAAATGTTAGCTTTTTAAGACATGTGATATCTAAGGGAGGGGTAGATGTAGATGCATCCAAACTAGAAGTCTTTCTTAAATGCGATTCTCCTAAGTCAATTTTTTGTTAGAACCAAAGACGTAGAAGTTTATATCCCCATAAAGAATTTTGATAATAACAATGAACATTAGAAAGTTTTATAAAAAGCTTTGATAAAATTAATTTTAATAATGTAGGCACCTAATTTTGTTTGGGATCCACAAACAAAGAAATGGACTTTAGCACAACACAAAGGAGTCCCTGAAGGTTCGAATATGACATTAGAACGAAATGATATAACATCAGAAGGCCCAAAGCCCAATAAGGGTGAATTAGGAGCCCGAAAAGAGTCGTTTCCAATCTGTAATGGGTCGTTCTAGACTCCTAAAAAGACCTAGAAACCCTAGGTTGAAAGAAGCCATTTCCAATTTGAAAGGGGTCATTTCGATTTCAGAACGGGTCGTTACAAATTCAAATTTTTTCCTTAACAAATTAACTAATCCAGAACGGGTCATTCCAAAATTGGAACGAGCCGTTCTGGTCAGGTCTGACTTCTATAAATACAAATTCGAGCACTACTCCCAGGGACAAAAAAAAATTACCTTCTAAAGCCCTATACAATTTGAATTTCCCTCTAGAATCTATACACTTCCTTTCTTTTTTTCCTTTGTATTTCTTAAGAGTTGTGAGACATATTGTGGTGTGAAAGATAGCCAAAAAGCACCTCAAGACTATCATATTCGAAGCATTTATAAAAGCTTGTTCGAAGAGGTATTTTTCACCAAACTCTTTCTATAATCTCTACTTCTTCTATCATAAATAAAAGCAATCATGTAGACGCCTTAAAGTTAATCATGTAATTTTAAATTCAAGCATGTAAATAATCAATAATAAAGGGAACTAATAAGATTTAAACTTTATTCTTGGTGGTGCTAATTTCATCATAGGGTACTGATTTAGGGCGTCATAGGGTGCCTAACACCTTCCCTACATGTAATCAACCCTCAAACCTAAGTTTTGGTTGTATAGGTCGTTTCTTGGCATTTTTTAAAACTTTTTTTTTCTCTTTTTTCAATGTTTTGAGTAAAACATCAGTGGCGAATCCTTTGAATTCTTTTCAAAACCATTAGTTAGGGATTAGTCTAGTGTCTGGACATTCTTTAATTGATAAAATTTTCAAAACGGGGGTCCAAATTATCTGTAAGTAAGATCATAATTTCTCAGGTTCTAACAAATAGATATCTTTCAAAGAAAATCAAATTTTCCAAAGATGTCTTTCACTATACCATCTAATTTCCATTGGAAAAATTAGCGTCTAACATTTTACATTTCTTCTATAATCTAAGTGTTGGAATATGCTTATATTAAGGAACCATGGTTAGTATGATAGTTTGGAAAATATTAAAGGCAAAACAAAATATATCTATCTTTGCATCTAACTAATACACATTTTCAAAATAAAATGATGTCTCTTATTTTGTCT